TTTGCTCAGCTGAAAATCCAGACGTCTGAACGACAAAATATCCCTGATCCAAATGATGATTCATTAAAGAAAAATATTAAATCAAAGAACAAATATTGCAGACGTTAAACTCTTTATCACCCCACAAATTATTATTTTTAGCATTCTCAGCTGAATATTGTAATAAAGGCAGAAAAAAAGACCGGAAATTTTTATTTAGGTAATCTCGTAACCAGTGCTAAACGACGACGGTTATTGAGTAACTGGTTTTAGGAAGCGATGAGTGATGGTATATGGGCTGCTTGAGCCCAACCCACCAATTACAGAACGAAGACAAGGGCCTAAGCCCAAATAGATGAACCGAAGCCCATAATTAAAATGGGTCCCAGAGCCCACACATGACAAAAAGTGGCTGAATTTTTATCCTCCTTAAGCAAAATCATGCTATATTTTTCACTTTCGTTATGGTAGAATTTTCTCCCTTGTTCCAACTTCCATCTAGTAAGAAACGAAGTAAAATTTGTGAATGGAATGGACAACAAATATAATTACATCAAAACTCAAGGCACCATCATCCTACCTTATGTGTGGGATTAAGATAAAAAGTTACAAGCTTTTAGTAGAGTGGACATATAGACAATATATTAATTTCTTGACATACAACTTATAAACTCATTAATTGCATACTTATTTAGGGTAAGCTAGCCTGAACCAACGACGGATGTACATAGGGACCCGTAGGGGCACGGGCCCTGCAAATTTTTTTTAATAATATAGTATATATATGTTATTATTATTTTGACATAAAAAAATACATGTTATTAATTATTATGTAAAGTTTTTTTTATATAAAAAAATTAAAAAGAAATATTTAGAATCATTTAACTTTCAATAGTATGTTATTTTTTAAGTTGTGAAATTTATGATTATGCTATACTTAATTTCTTGTTTTTTTCCTTTTCTCTCCCAAAATACATAAATGTATATATTGGATCAAATGTATTTATATTCTTAAAATGAGAATGTGAGATTCAACCATAACTATTAAATAGAGAATAGAGTGTCCGGTCAATATTTAATCTTTCATCCTTTTAATTGGTTAACTATTGATATTGATTTGACCGTTGGCATTCGGCGTTGACCGTCGGTGTTGAACGTTGACCATAGTTTGTGCCCCCGTTGTCCTTAACGTCTACGTCCGCCCTTGGCCTGAACAAGAATATTTATCCATTCTTGTTAAAAAAAAATAAAAATTAAATAAAAATTGGTAGTTGATAGTTGATAAATAAATTTTGTGCTTATATTGATATTTTATGACTGACCGATGACTGGAAAACTAACTAATATAATAAAAATGTTTAATAGAATCANTATGAGTCAGTTTACAAAACACATTAAAAAACCATGAAACAATAAATACAGAAAAAACTAACTATAACCCCAAAGAAGGAAAAAAAAAAGCTCATGGAATCTTCTTGTATATAATTAATTAATTACAAGGAAAGGAAACCTTATCTATGTTATAGGTTACTATAATTAGCTAGCATTTGTCCCTAACTGGTGTACTTTGATCAAGTTACACAATCCAGGAGAAGAAAAGAAAAGGAAACACTTCAATTACAACAATATAGTGTCCAAAGGTGAGTATCGGTCGGTCAAAAACCGAACTGCATCGAAAAAAATCGAAAATCGAATATTTAGGATTTCTTCACCGCATCACAATAGAAGAAAAAACCGAACCGAACCAACCAATTTCGGTTGGTTTGGTGCGATTTCTTAGTTAACCGAAATTAAAAAAGGATAACCACAAATTAATGTTCAAACAATACAAATTTTTACTTTTAAGTTTTAAATGTAAATGTTTATGTGATGTTGTAGCCACATTTTTATTCACAAAGTCGCAGCTTGTATATAGTATATGTAATGTAAGTAAAAGTGTAAAACTAAAGTGAGACTTTATGATTTTTGGTGCGGGTGCGGTTAAAACTACACCCTTCGAACAAAAAACCGAACCGCACCGAAATATTTGTGGTTTTCCAAAACCCAAACCGCACCATTAACCGAGCTCTTCAAGAACCGCATTGAATAGCTTGATTCGGTTCGATTTATTTAGTTTCAGCTCAATTTTGCTCACCCCTAATTGTGTCACCATTCCCCATTGGTTCCAACTGGTTTTTCAATAGGCTCAGTGCTCAATAAAGGTCCCTAGTTGTGTTACAATGCAAAAGAAGTTAAAAAAAAAAAAGAACAAAGTTTTGAGGTATATTTTTGTGGAAGAGATTAGTTCCAAAGAAGATAGATTTTTTTAATTAGTTTGGAGGAGAATATATTAGTGATGGGGCTACAGGTTTTAGAGGACCACCTTTTCATATAGTGCCAAATATATAATGTTCATCATGAATGTGTAGATTATAACCAAAGGCCCAAATTAAACTCAAATAAGTAATGTTCATTATGAATGGGTAAATTATAACCAAAGGCCCGAATTAAACTGACTTTTACTATTGCAATCTGCAGAAAACTGCTGCACATTTACATGTCAAGTCGCAATGCTACACTGCTTAAATTCCATCTTTAGTTATTTTGACAAATGAAAAAAAGAAAAATGAATATATATATATATATATATATATATATATATATATCTGTGTGTGTGTTGTGTTAAAAATAGCATTAAAACACTATTAATCATAGTACTATGTACAATTAAAAATAACGGTTCTCACAATTCTCACGCTAGGATTTGATTCTCATATGAATCACATCTTATATATATATATATATATAGAGGATAACTACAGTCCCGTTAATGGAATGATTCCGTCAGTATATTATTTTCTATTGTAGATTATCTACACTAAACTAATCTACATTTGTATCTACGGTAGAAAACTTTGAGAAAATCATTCCGACTGTAGTATTTGTGTTAATTATTTGTGTCCTATAGGTTACATTGCTGCCCATATGATGTTTCTAGCATAGGTAATTGAAGTCTATTATCAGTTAGTTAGTTATGGATTTCAACTAGTTTGTACGGATTCACAGAAAGAAATTAAGACTGATCATAGCTTTCATTTTTTTAATTTAATTATTCAAAAGAGATTGGTACGTTGTGAAATTAATTGAAGAGTGCCTGTACTTTCTGACCAGTAGGAAGGACGGTTATTGATTAATTAAGTAACAAACTTAATATTAAAAACAAAAAAACAAAAAAAAGACAAAAAAAATGTGCCTTTATAAGCAGTGGTCCAGTGGTCCTAAAATTTCAGTTCCAGAACAGCAGTGCTAGTTGAATAAACAATGACCATCAAGCTTTTTAGAGTTTGAGTTGATCAGTATATAGTTTGCTGTATAAGACAACTATCCTGAAAATTCATCTACCTTTCTCCCAAAATTGCTAAGCAAAAAATTTTGGTGGGTCCCCATGCAATGATTTTTTTTTTCTTTTCTCCACTTTTCAAATTGCAATTTTCTTGCACATCAACATTATATTGCTCTGCATCATATATACCATATTGTCCCGCCCCATAAGGGTATAAACGAGTCGAGTTGTGCTTGAGCTCGTGATATTCGGTCTGGTCTCGAGCCTTTATCGAGATCGAGCTCCTAATACTCGAGCTGAGGATCGATCTTTTATCGAGCTGACAAGAGTTTGACTCGTTAATCAAACAAATCAGTAAAACGAGCTCGAGCTCACACCTGTATCTGTATATATGATAGTGATAGCTTACAAGCATGTGATCCAATTATAAGGAATGTCCAAAAAGTATCACTACACGCCATATCTAGATGTGTTGATTAATTACTACAACTATTTTCACCCCAAGATTGAAATTGTTACAATTCATGAGGTTTGATATATTACCTAAGTTAGTTCATGTTGGCAATATGATCATACAGAAGNAAAAAAAAAAAAAAAAAGATATTTTGAGAACAAGTGAAAATCTTTTACAGCATTTATAATAAACCCAAGAAATAACCAAGGTGATATGTGAACCTGTCCCAAAGAAAATAATAAGTCAAGGGCAATGATATCTAAATAAACTGTCCTTGGACAGTGAGATTTAAATGACATGTTCATTGTTAGGTAAATAAGTTCAAACAAACACAAACCTTAGCTTATAACAAGATATATAGTTCGTTCTCCAATCCCTTGTCCATATATATAGAGATATGTGGATTTAATATTTATAGATCAGATATATTCATTTTGATGATGCATATATTATAATAGTTAGGTATGTGTATTCACAGGCTGCATTTAGATTTATTGAAGCATATGGTAACTGCAGCTAAAGAGCCAGAACAATTCATGAATTCAACAATTTTACTGTAGCTGCAGGGTAAATTCCACATATATCATATGAAAGGAGCATTAAAACACGTTGAACAACCTTTGAATTTGCCATTGTCACACATGCAAGTTGATAAATAAGTGTCAGAAGCACACAACCTTACTATTCCAAATTAAACTACAGACCTAATTTACTTGTTAGAAATCAAACCTAGTCAGATAGATCGAGATAGGGAGTGGAGAACACAAATTCTTGGGTGAAAGGAGGCCTAAACTGTAGGCCGGTTGACTCGTCATCTTTTTCTNAATGCATACTTAAACAGTTAAACTATGAAATAATATTTTGTTTTACGTTTTTTGTTGAAATGAAATTTCAGTTTGAAAATATGCATATATGTTGAAAATGTACGCCTATCGTCCAAATAATGGTTAGGCATCTCTTTCATTCATGCAAAAGCTAGATAACATATTTTAGGACCATTTGGAAATTAATTAAGAACCAAATAACATAAATTTTAAGTATTTAACAATCAAATTTAGTTGCAATTTAAGAATGGCAACAAGTACTTGTGTCAGCTGCTGATCCTGACGATGGAGTACTACTGATTAGAGTGAGAGGGGACCCCAACCCAACCTCTCATTAGAAGCCAAGCTTAATATAATGCTTTATTTGACTCGATTTTAATATAAAACCCAACGATTGACATGAACAAAACGGTCGAGAAATCGGGAGCAACCATCCTTTCAGATTACTTACACTACTTAATAATTGAGTTAGTCAACCATGAAGCCAACAAAGCAATCATATATATCCATGACTCTATTTGGTACAGCTGCTAAACTATACAGTAGCCCCCTAAAGAAGAAATAAAATGAAACCTAAAGATCCATAAAACACATTAAAAGAAAGGGGACCACGCAAAAATAATTAATGGCTTAGTTGTTATTTGATCCAATATATTTACAAACCCATACTATTTAATATTTATAAACAACATAAAATCTCCTTCTCCATATCATATCATATATATATATACACTCTATCTCTTTCTCCTTCCCCATCACACCATAACATTTTTCCTTCTTATAAACAAAAGAAAAATTATGAACAAGGCCGAGAGAGAGACTCGCGACCAGATGGCCGTCGAGTCTTTCTCTCAGCTTCCGCTCATCCGCCCGCTGCCTGCTCGAGAAAGGCCAACCACCACCGAGTCCGGAGCCATCAGGCTCTTCGGCAAAGAGTTTGGTGGCCCCACAGCCGACAAAAAATCGGCTCAACCGAGCAAATTAGACCTAAACAACAATAAAAGCACAGACATTACAATTAGCAACCGGAAATTCGAGTGTCACTATTGCTACCGCAACTTCCCCACCTCACAAGCCCTCGGCGGCCACCAGAACGCCCACAAGAGGGAGCGCCACCACGCCAAGCGGGCCCACCATTATAACCATTTGGGTTTCTCTACTCTTCCAATGGGCTACACCGCAGGCCCGGCTCACGGAGGTATCAATGGCAGGCCTATGCCCGCGTGGCGGTTCCCGACGACTCATGGCTCGTCGGTTAGGGTGAGGCAACCAAAAAACCTGGAAATTATTAATTCATTTTTTAATAATATAGAAAACGACAATCGATATCGCATGGTTAGGTTGCCTGTGGCGGCAAGTGGCGGCCGATTAGGGTACGAGTTGACTATGAGCTTGCAGGATCATGTGAGTTTGGATCTACGGCTTTAGCGAATTAAACTATGTAATGCTAGATTCAATAAATAACAACAACTACTAGTTTGTATTGCAATGTATTACTTATAACACGCTATTTCTCTTAGGCTCCGTTTGTTTTGAGGGATTCGAAATTTCTTGATTTCAAAATTTTTGAAATATAAATTTTTTAACTTGCACACTCCTTGAATGAATATGTTGAAAATATTACAAATAAATTGTCTAGCTCACATCGATGTGTTGACTCGCGGTGGTAATGAACCTAAATGATCGCAGACGGCGTAGTCGTCAACGATGATAAACAGCAGATTTCAAATGACTAGGTTTGAAGAGTCATTTCAAATCCTTCAAAATATGACTAAAAAACATGTAACATGAATTTGAAATCCTCCAACTTCCATTATCATCCCAACATGCATGAGCATTTGAACTTGTAAATTTGAAATTTATGGATTTCAAATCCCTCAGTAAATCCCTCAAAACAAACATAGCCTTAATGTACTAAATACGTTTTATATTGAGATGTGAATTTTGTTAGTATCTGGCCTTCATTCTTTTGTTGACTTAATGTGTTTCTTAAACAAAAAAAAAAATTAAAAGATAAAGAGAATTTTTTGTGCAGTTGCATTAACCACGATCAAACCTTGAAGTTAAATTATAAGCTTGAAATAAACAAGTTTGGACATGATAAATCGTTAAAAGGACAGTACAAAAAAAATGTTATATTCCAACTGGAAATCCTGTTAGAGTATACACTTGTGAGTTGTCCCACATCGTCTGTACAGGAAAAATAGGTCTAACTTATAAGCCTAGTGGGCTACTCCTCCTACCACCAATTGGTTTTGAGATGGAACCTCACTTGGGCTTCATTTGAGCTTCTCTGATTTGGTGAGCTTCGTCTATGGGACCGCACCCGTCAACCCCCATTTGTCATGGTATCAGAGTCGGTTCACCCAGCTCAGTTGGGCTTGGGCTACGTGGGACCGTGCAATGACGTACCCGTCACCCAGCCCAATTGGGCTTGGGCTTCCGAAAGACTCACAAGTGAGGGGGATGTTAAAATATACACCTGTGAGTTGTCCCAGCTCAGTTGGGCTTGGGCTACGTGGGACCGTGCAATGATGTACCCGTCACCCAGCCCAGTTGGGCTTGGGCTTCCGAAAGACTCACAAGTGAGGGGGATGTTAGAATATACACCTGTGAGTTGTCCCACATCAGGGCTAACTTATAAGCCTAGTGGGCTACTCCTCCTACCACCAATTGATTTTGGGATGGAACCTCACTTAGGCTTCATTTGGGCTTCCTTGATTTGGTGTGCTTCCTCCGTGGGACCGCACCCGTCAACCCCCGTTTGTCATGGTATCAGAGGGATGGAACCTCACTTAGGCTTCATTTGGGCTTCCTTGATTTGGTGTGCTTCCTCCGTGGGACCGCACCCGTCAACCCCCGTTTGTCATGGTATCAGAGCCGATTCACAACTTATAAGCCTAGTGGGCTACTCCTCCTACCACCAATTGGATGGAACCTCACTTGTGCTTCATTTGGGCTTCCCTGATTTAGTGCGCTTCGTCCATGAGACCGCACCCGTCAAATCCCGTTTGTCAAATCCTATGATAATATAATCCAACGGATATTCCAATAGTATAGCTTCTGTTGGAATCATTCCAACGGAAATTCCAATGAAAATATTCTGTTAGAATGAATTTTCAATTGAAATTTTAGATGGAATTTGGTGATTCCAACGACTATTTTTTCAACGGTTTTTTACCGTTGGAATATGCAATTTCCGTTCGAATTTTTATTTTCACATCCGTTGAAAAATCTACCGTTGAAATCTTCAAAATCCAATAGAAATTTCAATGAAAAACTCATTCCAACAGAATATTTTCGTTGGAATTTTCGTTGGAATTCCATTAAAATTTATTTGTATTGGAACTTTCCGTTGGAATTTGATCATTTTATTGTAGTGGGACAAAGGCATGACACTTATGAAATTACCTTCCACGATTAGAGATAAATGCCTTCAAGATACAATTTTATCTTGTGTATGATTGGTGTCACTTCAAGTGTACAAGATTTTGTTGGAATTTATGTATAGAACTCTCAATAATAAAGAAAACTAATAAACACAAGATGCTAGCTATGACATCTTTTCGTTCTAACTAATTATATCTCTCATTCAATTCACTTGAATGAATGTTCAAGCATGACGAGTACTTATAAATGTGAAAAACCATCACCAAGGGACGGGTACATGGATCAATAGGCACCTTTTCGGACAAACCCGAACGCAAATGGATGTACATTTGAAGCCAAATAACAACTTTTTCGCCACCATGAGCACTTATTTATCTGAAAAACATCAAACCGTTCAAAATAAACCAAAATTAATTTAAATTGTAAAATGAAGATTGACTGTTAGATTATTTTTGAACCAAAGTGAAATAATAACTCTGGAGATTAACTAATATTCGTACTAAGGATCAAATCGAAGAAATGAAATTATGAATCACGCTATAACATTCTCTTTTAATTTAAAAAAAATTCTTCTAAATTATTCAATAAACATATGAAATAAAAAAAATCACATTTTATTTGCTGAACATTGGGCCAAGTTCGCACTCTTTAGACCCAAACATATCCTTTTTCAAAAGAATCCTTAATACTAATTAGCCCATACCATGGTTTACATCACACTGGCCCAGTCCAAAAGCTAAAACCCTATCCTCAAATCGTATATAATCCATCTCCCTCTTCCAAAATCCCGTAGCTCACGGCTCGCCCCATTTTTCACCTTCACACACAGCTTGAACATACACAGCTGAAAAACACTACAAAATGCCGGCGGGTCACGGCTTGAGAGCGCGCACCAGGGATCTATTCGCCCGGCCGTTCAGGAAGAAGGGTCCTACCCACTTGTCCACGTACCTTCGTGCATACAAAATCGGCGACTATGTCGATGTGAAGGTAAACGGGTCGATCCACAAGGGTATGCCCCACAAATTCTACCATGGCCGCACAGGACGCGTCTGGAACATTACCAAGCGGGCGATCGGGGTTGAAGTCAACAAGCAGGTATCGAATATCTGTGCCTGCAATTTTCTGTCATTTACTTGTTTTTGTGATGAAGCACTGTAGTTTAGCGTCAAATGTTTGGAGCATTATGCGAGTTGAAGTGAAATAATACCTTTTTGTTTCATTTATTATATTTTCCTGGGTAATTGATTGTGTTGTTATGACTTGTATCACAGTGTTGAATTCGGCGACATATTGGAATTTAGAATGCTTTTGCTTGAACAAGATATGAAATTGTAGATCAACGTAATTTAATGTGGGCTGTAGTAATTTAACTTGATATTAGTGAACTGTGATATGTGATTATCCTGCACCTTTGAAAACAGTGATGTGTTTTGTATTGAATGATTATAATCAGGGACAGGTCAAATCAGTTACTGAAAGCCTATCATGCGTGTTTGAATAATTTCATAGTACAATGGGGTTTGAAGCTGTGTGTCGATTTAGAAACACTTGGTGATTCTTGGAAGTCAACTGTGTCGAATAATTTTCGTTAATGGCTTTGTTAGATTTCCTAATTCCTAATTAGCGACCTTTGATAAATTCCTGCTGTTCACTTATAACCGGAATGGTAATTTACAATGTGGCTTGATATATTCGTAGCTACAGAAGATTAACTGGTGACATCTTATCTGTGCTTCTCTTGTTAGATCACTCAATTGTCCAATGCATATTTGTTCTCAAGTAATCATCTCACCAGTAGTATGAATTCGCAGTTCATATGACTGTTCATTTAACTCCTGAATGTGTTAATTTTATATTTTTCTGAAAAAAAAAAAACGATTAGTACATTTATCGACCTGTGGTTATTTAATATACCTGTCTTAATTATTGCATCCACCACGATTCCATAATAGCTTTGCTGAAAATAGCTGGCTTAACCATAGATTGGTGCTCTCTTTGTATTCTGTAAATGAAGGTTGGCAACAGAATCATAAGAAAGAGGATACACGTTCGTGTTGAGCATGTTCAGCCCTCGAGATGCCATGAGGAGTTTCTGCTGAGGATAAAAGAGAACGACAAGTTGAAGGCGGAGGCCAAGTCACAGGGAAAAATCATCAGCACGAAGAGGAAGCCAGAAGGACCGAAGCCCGGTTTTATGGTGGAAGGTGCCACCATAGAAACTGTAACTCCCATTCCTTATGATGTGGTCAACGATCTCAAGGGTGGTTATTAAGGAGTGTTGTTGGCTTTGGATAACAGAAGTTGGGATATTTTTCTTGTGCTTCTGCTGTTTTTCTTTTGCTTTATTTTACTTTCTGTTCCTGTGGGTATATGAACGATGCTGGCAGTTGTAACTTGAGTCGAGACAAATTTTGGGCAGTAAGATATGTGCAACTTATTGGTACCATCATCTTTGAATTTGGTTGAATGGGTAGTAGTAACTTATGGTGNATTTTTTAGTTCTAGGGTTTAACTGCGTAAATCCGTTTAGGCAAAGCAAAGTTTTGTTCGTTTTTGTTCCGGTAGGAAGAGTGGCCACTTGACCATATCATAAATATAATATATTGCGATGTATTCATTTTACAACAAACCACTTTCGAACTATTCCTTTACTGTTTCATCCAAACATAATGTCAAATTTTACAAAAAGAAAAAAGAATTCTTAACATTCAATTTCTAATATTACAACATAGAAATTTGACTTGTGAACACAACAAGTTATGGTACAGCTTTTCTTACGAATGACGAGCATTGCAATGCCTGTGGTGCTAGAATAATAGGACATGTTTGTTTCCAACCTCAGCGTGGAGAGTTTGAGAGTTCGATTATTGGGAGATGCATTTCAGCGTGGGGAGTTCGATTATTCAGAGATGCATGCATTCCTGTGAGAAGAATTTTCTTGGGGACTTGGAGTTTAAGCAGTGTTGCAACCTAAGGCCTTACTCGGGTCACATCCCGCTGGGGTTGTAAAAGAATTGAGTAACTATTCGATTCGAATTTGTAAAAAACTTGACTATTCGTATTCAATTTGCTATCGAATTTAATTTCTAATTCGTGTTTTATTCGATTAAGATAATTGAATATATTAGATCTGAAATTTATTTTCAGGAATTTATAAATATATTTATATATTTTTTTAAATATTTTTTTAATATAATATATATTTTTAAATATAAATATATTTTGTAACATAAAATAAATATTCTTTTTTAATATAAATATATTTTTGTGTTTTATATTTATATTTAATATATTTGATTATATATAATTATTATTAATGAATCGAATATTCGATAACTTCGAATCGAAATGTGCATATTCGAATAAATTTCGAATATTAAACATTGTTCTTATTCAAATTTGAATTCAAATATTTTCCGAATACGAATCACGAAAATCGAATCGTAGTGTTTGATTTGTTTGCAATCCTACATCCCACCATTTACCTCCATGAATCGTAAACCTGAGGACATCACTCGGGCACAGTCACAATTAGTCTAGTGTAAATCGAAAACTTGGATAATAACAAAAATAACAATAATTAAAAAAAGAAAACACATTGCAATTTCTCCTAGAGTTAAGACTTGCTAAAATAGGCTAGAGCCCTACCAACACCTGCTGGTTAATTAGATATCACCCGTGTGGGTGACACCTATTTTCACCACATGGGTGACAACTGTCCATTTTTATTTTTGTATTTATACTTTATTTTGGTACTTGTTACTCAGGGTGGAGATGGGTACCACACATATAGATGACAGCGATTTAACCATGTCTACTTTTGTTGCGGCAGTTGTCTGATTGAGATTTACTGCTAGTGCTTGTGGGTGCAATGCCTATTTGGTCTCCCGAACACACCAGAATTAATTTTCAAACATTTTTGTGCCGAAAAAATGTGCCTAAACAAAATAAACACGAATTTTTCTTTTTAAACAACACAAAAACAAAGGCACGAAAGTGCAACTGTGCAAGAACTGTGCTTGGCAAGCATGTTGCCGGCACCGTTGCATGCAGGGGCGGAGCTAGTATGGAACCAGTGTGGGCCTAGGCCCACACTGAATTTTACAAAAGAATTTTAAATATTATGGTCATATATAAATTACTTGATAAAGGATCTAATTTACATTGTGTAGGTGCATTTAGGAAGATATAATTGTATCTCTCTCTCAATTATAAAATGACTTATTGCATTTTGTTTTACCATCATTAATTATTATTTTTTTATTTACAGAAATTGACACTATTTATCCTGTTTTGCTTAGATATGTATATATAATTGATCATTTACTTAATATGACTTATATAGTAAGAAGAAAAAAATAAAAAACCTTCTTAATTATGTTAATTGATTCACTAACATAGTCAAGTTGATTCTAAATTTGATGCCAAAATTATTGGAATTAATAATACATAAATAATAAGTTATCACATAACGCACTTTAAATTTGATCACAAAATTTTTAGTTAATTAATAATTCACATAAATATACAAGTTTCCACCAAAATAAATTTAAATTATATTTATGACTAATAGTTAATTGTGTTTTAAAAATAAAAAAAATAATAAAAGGAGAAACATTGATTGGATATATGACTTTTTTTCTTTCCTTTTCATTCAATCAAGATTTGTATTGTTGAAACTGAGAAAAATAATAAAAATAATCATAATAATACTATATTTTATCACACCTTTTTTTTCAACAAGTAACACAATTAAAATATAATAAATTTATATTATGTTATAATTTCTAATAATATTATTATTAATTCATTATAATGTCTTTATATGTCATTAAATCTGATCAACTTTAATTATTACATTTTTATCATGTATTCATTCACAATTTAAAATCTAAATCACTTTTTTTATATCTATTTTTAGATGAGACAATATTTTTGGAAAACAAAATATATACAATTGCAACCTATAATTTCATTTTATAATTCTGATGGTTAGTTATAAAAACCAACTTAGGCCCCCACTCATGTAAATTTCTAGATCCGCCCCTGATTGCATGTGGTCAGCGACTACTAGCCCAAGCTATTGCAAGCATGTGGGCAACAACAGCTAGTCCAAGTTAAGCGATAAATTCCAAGTATGTTGCCAACGATGACTAATACATGTTGCGTGATAAATTCTAGGGCGTTTAACAACTTTTGGAGAATGATAGTTGTATGAAATCATGCAATTCTTTTACAAAATAAAATATGAAAAATAGGTAAAAATATATAAAATAGTTTGAAATACAATAATAACAAGCTCAAAAACTTTTAAAATCAACTCAAACGTGTTCTCTAAACACAAGAACGAATGAGCTGTTCAACCAATTTAATTTAATTTGTTAAATGTTTGCAGATTTTATATGCATGGTTGCATCGCAGCGTAAATTTATCTATCCAATTATATAAAAATCATTTAATTTTTTCTGTTTAATATAAACTAACTCATATTGGTAGTAGCACACTAGCAGTTATGCACAGACTCCTCTTCCTCTTTTGATGCGTTCCCTCTCTCTTCCATTTCTCTCAACTCACAAATCCTCTCTTCAAAATCTGTAAAACCCTATCTCGCTTCTCTAAAATCCCATCTATTTCTTTCTCCGCATTCGCATGTTCATTCTGAATCAACGACCTACCATTCCAATCCGACTTCCTATCACCATTTCTCATTGATTTTCGTGTCGATTGGTCTTTCATTTTTGTGATTAACTGAGGTGTTTGGAAAAACAAAAAAGAAGGCTGGCGATTGGCGCTGGGAACTGGTGATGACGGTTTCGCCACAAGTCCGCCGGCAGTTGGTGCTCAAATCTTGGGCTTTTGCGATTTTAGGATTTGCGACGTTGGAAGAAGAGAATCAAGAGTTCAATTCGCCAGAAGTTAAGAGAAGATGGTGAGTGTGGTGCGGGTGCATTTTCCTTCTGATATACCGATTGTGGGGTGCGAGTTGACACCGTATGTCCAATTGAAGCGAACCAACAATTCTGTCGTTGCCGATGATGCTACTGAGTTGAACCCTATCGATGGCCATTTTTTGGAATACAGATGGTGAGTTTTTCTTAGCGTGGAATCCTTTTTTTCGTATTTTTTTTTTCTTTTTTATTTGTTCATGCTTTGTGCAGTTTGTGACTTCGTCTTTCTGGTGCATGTACGTCTATGAAATGAGATTTTGGGTTGACCTTCAAATATGGTTGTTTTCTTTGAGCAATTTATTTGTTATTTTTTGCTTCTGTCCGTAGAATGTCATTTCTTTTCTTTCTTTCTTCAGTTCTTGTAATTTTTGTTTGGGTTTCTCTCTTTCTCTGGAGTATGTGAAGCGTGTTTCATAATGGTTACGTGCATGAATTTTGAATGCGTATTCATGTTTTTGTACTATCCACATTCTGATGGAAATTGTAGAAGGTAGTTATTGGTTCTCCCCTTGGTTAATAGTCAGTTCTTGCATTATGTTTTTCCTGTGCCATTGATTTCTTCTACTCTGTTTTTGTCTATGGCATTAACCGAAGATGGTGTTGGCTTATAGTTTGTCTACGGCATGAATCTTGATGATATATAACAATTTCCAAGTCACGGTTTCTGAACACTAGACAACCATTTTTCTAGTAGCATAGCCTCTATATCACCTATTAACGTAAGAGTCATAGACAGTTGCTTTAACACTGCTTCTGGGTATAAATGCATCACTTTTCCCAAAATAAGACAGTTTATTTATGTGTTGTCATTTTACATCTGGATTGTATGTATAAGTGGTGTATTTTTGAATATTTTTTGGTAAATAATTGATATATGTAGGTACCGGGTACAAAGTAATAAAACCGTTTGTAGTGTTCACCCAACTGAGCAAGCTACTGTACAATGCCTTGGATGCTATAAGGCCAAATTACCTGTTGCCAAGAGTTACCATTGTTCTAACAAGTGTTTTGCTGATGCCTGGCAACACCATCGTGTTCTGCACGAGCGTGCTAGTCCGTTAAAAGAGGTTCCTCGAAATGGTGAAATATGGTTTAAAATTGGATGCTCCAAGACATATACACCAACGGCTGATGATATTGGTCATATCCTGAAATTTGAATGTGTTGTAGTAAATGTTGAAACAAGAGAAGTAGTGGCTTCTCCCGAACCTTCTGGGACTGATTATGTGATTTCTCCTCCATCACCCAGTCCACGTAGAGTGATATCTGTTAGTGGAGTGGATATCGCTAGGCATGTGGATATTGATATTCGTTCTTCATCTGGCATGACATTTTCAGTGCTCTCGTACAATATTCTGTCTGATATCTATGCTTCGACGGAATTATACAGCTATTGCCCCCTTTGGGCCCTTCCATGGCCCTACCGCAGACAAAACCTGTTACGAGAAATAGTTGGTTACCAAGCGGACATTATCTGTCTCCAAGAGGTACACAAACCATGAGGAATGTAACAAATCTTTTCATGGATTTAGAATTTAACTTGAGTTACTTTTGTCATATATAATTCCTGGGTTATTTTCAGTTTATGGACGCCATTACAATGTGTGAATCCATATTGAAAATAGTTTAGATTTAGAACCTTTACCTTTNGCTGGATAAACACGGCTATCAAGCTGTGTTTAAAAGTAAAAGTGGAGAGGTTGGTTGAAGCATCTCTGAAGTTTGTCTGTGAAACTTGTGCTGGTAATAATATGCTTATCATTATTTTGCAGGTTTTTGGTGGGAAAATGAATACCATTGATGGCTGCGCTACTTTCTTCCGCTGTGATAGATTTGCACTTGTCAAAAAATATGAGGTAACAAGTGCGCCACCTCTGCCTGAAACATGCACAGAACTCCTTTGGCTATTTTACATTTTATCAACTTGTGGAATTCCTGCGTGTAGGTTGAATTCAACACAGCTGCTCAATCCCTGACTAATGCTTTGGTTCCCAGTTCACAGAAGAATAATGCCTTAAATCGATTGATAAAGGTATTTATAAATATTTTTTCCTTTTGGATTTTTGTTGTATTTGTTTTTTAGTTTCATGTCATTTTACTAGGTCATAATACCATTTGATATCTGGTTCGTTCATACAGGATAATATTTCGTTAATCATTGTTCTAGAAGCCAAATTTGGTGACCATGGCATTGATAATCCCGGGAAGCGCCAGCTTGTTTGTGTGGTAAGATTTCGCATTATTCGAATGACTTTTATGCTCAAATATTCTCTAAGATATTAAGCTACAATGGGAATTGATAAGAGTCTCCTGCTGGGCACCAACTTTAACCTTCATCATGAATAGCTGTGTGAATCTTGTCACCCAAGTTTACTTCTTATGTTGATAGGCGTTTTGGTTGATGTATGGGATAGTGTGTTGATGAAAGTGTTTAATTTAGTCTTCCACATAGTGGATGAGTCAGGGTTCACATACGCAGAATTTGGGCATGTGCAGTGTTTAGGTCGTACGTTTCTCTGATCAAAATTGATGATCCACTGCTTCTAATGACCTGTTTAATAGAATTGCTAAATGAATGAGCATGCGATCCCTGTTACGAAACCTACTCGATTTGTCTCGTTAAAGTGACAGGTTACTTAATGAGCCCTTGAATTTAGAAGAGGAACTGTGTTCATGACTTTTACACATCAATCATATTCTTATTTTTTTCACCTCCCTTAACTGCAGCATTGACTGTAGAAGTTGTCTGTCTTTGAATCCAAACTTTTGGATCTTTGAAACGATAACATCGTCCTTATGTCCTTTCATTTTCCGTAGTAGTGATCAAGTTCTTCATCTAGACCTGTGTAATGGGATGGCTATTCCATTTAATATCTCATGATCCGTATTGTTCTTGTGTATATGAACACAGGCAAATACACATGTCCACGTGCATCAAGAGTTGAAGGACGTGAAGCTCTGGCAGGTTTTTGTCTGAGGCTATCACTCTCTTTTACTCATTTGCTGTCTCCTATCTTCAAGCCGTGAAGCTGGTTTTTATAAAAATACATAAATCAGGTCCACACGCTTATTAAAGGCCTGGAAAAGATTGCTGCAGCTGCGGATATCCCAATGCTGGTCTGTGGGGATTTTAATTCTGTACCTGGAAGGTGTGTTGTTTATTCTCTCACAGTAATACAGCTAATTCTGATTTTATTCAGTTGAAAGTTGAGACTCGCTAATGTCTCTGGGTGGTTGTCTGGTTATAATCATTTATATGTTTATTTTTGTAACAGTGCTCCACATGCCCTTCTCGCTTTTGGGAGAGTTGATCCTTTTCATCCAGATTTAGCTGTGGACCCTCTAGGAATTCTTCGCCCCATTGCTAAACTAACACATCAATTGCCACTGGTATAGCACAACTGATCCATTCTGAATGCCTAGCATCTGTTGCTATACCCATAATTATTTTTTTATACGAGTGTTGTTTTTATTATTTTGCTTCACAGGTTAGTGCTTACTCATCCTTCGTCAGAGCTAAGGTTGGTCTTGGTCTAGAGCAAAGAAGGAAAATGGATCTTGCTACTAATGAGCCTCTCTTTACTAGCTGGACCAGAGATTTTATTGGTACTCATGATTACATCTTTTATTCAGGTACGTTCTTGGGCGGTATTTTTCTGTTCAAAGCAAGTCCATGGATATCTATCTGATTTAATGTTTATGCGGGCATAATTTTTTTTAAATTTTCCTCACGTAGCCGACGCTTTAACGGTGGAGTCTTTGTTGGAGCTTCTGGATGAGGATATCTTGCGCAAGAACACTGCTCTTCCTTCTCCAGAGTGGTCATCAGATCACATGGCACTATTCGCCGAGTTCCGCTGCAAGCCTAAGAGACGTTAATGATAGGTAAGGCTATCTATTTATTTATTCATTCATAATTCCACATTTTCATAATTGACCTTTCTGTTCTGTTCTCTGATTTTGCTCATTGTGAATATTTGGTGATTAAGGATCTAAACTTTGTCACTTGGGTGATTGAACCCGATATTCTTTTTTGGGGGGGAGGGCATAAGAGAGTTGAAACAAAAGAGTTGTTAGATTTCTATATTTATGTAGAGTTCTATATTTGAACCTAGATATCGATATTTCAAAATCCTGTTCTTATAGAAGTGTGTGATATTTGATTCTCTTTGATTTTTTCTTTCTCTATCTTCTATGATATCTGTCCTTTTATTTATTGATTTATTTATTCGTGCAGGCCTGTCCCAAGAAGAGTTTTTGGGAAAAATACTAACCGGACAACAACGTAGGAGGACAGAAAAGTAAATGTAATGATAGATAGTTCTACCTGTTCATTTTTCTTGCCATACTCTTCAACCCCCACAGCTGGGGTTCCTTTGTACAGTGCAATCTTTGTGTCATAGAAAAGGAAAAATCGTGAAAATACCTTCGTTTTATTCTCCACCTTTCTCGTACCAGCTGGAATATAGAAATATATAGATAGGACAGCATATCCAATGCATTATGCGATGCGGATTGTAATCTTTTAGTCTCTTCTTCCCCTTGTAATTGTTGGAAGTAGGTTGAGAAATAACTACTGGGAAGTGTTATAATCAATTTTAATGGCGGCTGGTGAGGCTTTTTGGCAGTTTCCTTTTTCCTGAGTAATTTTACCTGAATTTTGCGTGTCTCATGTCTTTTGTTTCTTCCCCAAGGTAATTGTAATTGTTTGTGGGAGTTTATTAGCTTCTTTTCAAGTGACTGAAGTTATTTATTATCTTTTTCCAAATATGCGTTCTGTTGCCAATGGTTACTGAACTTGCTACAGCGAGTTGTAGGCAACAAGTGGAGAATGAATCTTGGTTTCGGGTTACTTTCTGCTGTTTGTTACTGATAATCGGCAGCAATGTCGAAAATGATAGAATAATGACAAAAGTGGTCCTTGAAGTTAACCTTAATCACAAAACAACCTCTTGCGATATTTCGATATTTCTTGCAGTTACTTGTGAGTTTGAACAATAATTGGGTTCTTTGTGTAGTAAGAAGGTAAGGTAAGACCAAAACTGTTGCTGTTATTGTATGCTTCATTGATTGATTCAAAGCAAAAGCTATAAATAAATAATATTATAGAAGTAGTCTTGATGCATGTCACAATTGAGAACGGTAAAAGAAGTCTGCGCCTTTATGTTCCCACTACATACAAAAATATAGATTGCTAGAAATGACCGCGGAAAAATGGGG